CATTAATACAGAAGTGCAGCAGCCATCTTTAAAGAGACCACTTTGCAATGCTTGTCTATATAGTATCTCCAGTGCAGGGGGCAGCCATCTTGGCTGAGTCTGGGTTGATTCTGGAAGGATGGCAAGTGGCTTTTGCAATAAAGCAAGGAGAGGAGTGTTGGCAGGCTGCTGACAGGAAGGGAGAGGTCAGTCTTAAATGCAATGGAATGAAAAAAAGAGACTGGACTGGTGGCTGAATGGTGAGACTGGACTGCTGACTGAAAGGATCCCTGCCATAACTAACCACAATTGGGTAAGACCTCAGAGAGACTGTTCATAGGACCTTGCCTCAAAGACAGAAACGTTATTTTTTTTGTATCTATCATATCTTTTATTAGTTTTAAAACATATTGTTTCACATAATCCAACAATACATCTACAAATATAAATATTCTTAGATATACCCCAAAACACATTCCCCCTCCCTCCCCACCACCCTGCACTTCCGCCCCCCCCAGTCACCCTTCCTTTTATTAACCTCTGTCCTCCCTCTATCACTTCCTGTCCCTCCTCTTCAATCATCCCCCTCATAATACTCTCAATTCTGCATACTTCTTAGTTATTGTATAAATTATCCATCTCTCTCCCATATTTTTCTAAATTTTTTTATTTTATCTTCTCCGATATGATAAAGTTCTTCCATCCTGCATATGTATTCCACTCTGCTAATCCAATCTTTTATTTTAGGAATTTCTTTACTTAGCCAACATTTTTGGGATCAGGCCTTTAGCTGCATTTATTAAATGAAATATTAACGTATTTTTATATTGCTTCACTGTACCGTCCCCTTTATGGAATATACAAACCCAGGGGGCGTGGCCGGCAGAGGATGGAGACGGCTGCTCAGTGACAGAGCTCCGGGAGCCGCCACGATCTACAGGGATAGACAGCGACAGGAGGCAGCGGGTGAACCTGCCAACTATACAGTAAGCCCTCTAACTGATGGCGGCACACAGGAGGCTATATGGGAAAGAGGAAAAATAAGGAGGGGCCCCGCAAATTGACAGAGTTTTTTACTCCGGTGGGCGGCCCCTCCCCTCAACCTGGCACTGGGCATCATCCCTTTCCTGAGCTCCAGGGACAGGGGAGGGGGGAGGGTCACAGCCCTCCTCTGCATACATCCAGCCCAGCAATGACTGCAGGCTCTGCAAACTCATTCCCATCAAGCAGCCCACAGAAGCACAGACAACGCTCTGCAGATGTGCATTCTATTCTAGCAAATAAATACAAATTCACTTTCACACAATACCACCAGTGAATTTATTGAACACTTGAAAGACTACCCCGCAGAGTCCTTACCCCTTACTGCGTCAGTAATGAAAGATATGTTAATTACTCTCAAAGGCTCCCTGCATAAAGATATGATGGGATTTGTGGCGCAAGTTAATAAGGATGTTGAATGTTTAGGGGAGCGAGTTACACATGTGGAAACCAAAATGGGTGAATTTGCTAAAGTGCATAATGAATTAGTTGATGCACATAAGGAGACAGAAGAAGATGTGAGAGCTTTAAAGGTGAAATTAGCAGATTTGGAGGACCCGTCTCCCAGGAAGAATGTGAAATTCAGGGGCATTTGCGAAAATATACCTGCCGGGGAACGCCACAAATATATCCAACAAATGATCTCTGCTCTGCTACCGCACACTCCAAACAGGGAGGTAGTGGTACATAGGGCCCACAGACTGCCAAAGCCCTCATTTCTCCCTACATAATATAATACATACATAATAGTAAGAAATCACTTTTACCATGTCAAGGAAGAGTTAATGCTATTTGCTCGGAAAAATACTCCACTTCCTGCCCCCTATGCTGGGATCACATTATTCACCAATCTTTCGCACCATACCATTTAGCACGCAAAAAAAATTGCTCTCCTTCACGAAATTGCTACGCAACAACGACATCAAACACCAGTGGGGCTTCCCTACCAAATTGATTATCACTAAAGATAACCGTGTGATCACGGTTAAATCTGAAGAAGAGGGATTCCAGTTAGCCAAACAATGGGGCCTCCTACCAACAGATGAAACGCCAGCGCCTACTAAAGCTTCACCCAGGAAAATAACACCTGACTAGGAACAGGTAGCAGGGTGATGCGTCTTGTCGGTACTTCCCCAGGCCTCCTACTTATTTGCTGTATACCCGCTGTACTTTTGGACAGTAATTTAACGGCCTGCGCTTCTCAGCTCTGAACCCCCCATTCACTGCAGTGATTGATTGCACACAAAGTTTCACGTTAACTGTTCTGTTTGTCTTTTTATGTGTATTTTCCTCCTCTTTGCCAACCCTTTTTTTACAGAGCACCCTGACAGCAAGATATGGAATACACATACCTTGAATTCCTCTCTCCCTAACTGGTCGTCATCTTCATCTCCTTGCCGGAATACCTTGGGCCATGTAAGTTTATATATTTGGATTGTTTATACCACCATGCACTTCCTTTCTTCACCACATGAGGGCAACCTGTCAGCATTTTTCCTAAAATCATCATGGTCTTGAAAATAATCTCAATGAATGCTCATGGTCTTAACAGCCCGTTTAAACGCCACTCTATGTGGAGAGAAGCACAATGGTTGGCTGGAGATATGGTTTGTGTCCAGGAAACTAATTTTGCATCCACTAAAACCACATTGCTCACACCATATGTTTCCACATATTTTTATGTCCAATGGTCCAGAAAAAAAGTGTGGTGTTCTCATAGCAGTTCACAATTCCGTTACGTTCTTGTTGCTGTCCCAAGTGTCTGACAACAAAGGTAGATACCTAATTATTGTGTGCGAAATTCACAATATTACCTACACCATAGTTAACCTCTATGCTCCTAATGTGCACCAGATCCATTTTCTCAATTCCTTGTGGAAAAAAGTAAATAAGATTCAGAAAGGCTTCTTGTTATTTTGTGGAGACTTCAACATTATTGTAAATAATTCCTTAGATGTTTCCCATCCCTCTCACAGCCTGAGACACTTTTTAGCCAATGTGCTATCTGAATCCAATTTGTACGACCCTTGGAGATGTCTACATGCATCTGAGAGAGACTATACGCGCTATTCTGCACCCCACACATCTTATTCGAGAATAGATCTTTTCTTGACGGACATTCAGTTATTACAAAATGTATCCAGTGCTGAAATCCACCCTATGACGTGGTCGGATCATGCACCTATCTCACTAAGCATTGAGGAGTCCTTAACATTTTCTCCAGTGTTTTTATGGAGTAATGACATATCTATGTGTAATAATCCTGCTTTTCATTCCTCTATTACTAAAGCTTTACAAGAATATTTTGACATTAATTCCTCTCCTACAACAAATGCATTTAGTACATGGTGCGCTCATAAAGCATTTTGTAAAGGTTTACTCTTTAAAATGGCCTCTCAAGCGAGGCGGGACAGGAATAAAAAATGTTTAGACATGGTTGATAGGATAGCTAGACTAGAACGACTCCATAAACAATTCTTATCTCCCACTGTATTGCAGGAACTCCAAACGGCTAGACTTGAGCTTAGGGCCATTGTGGCATGGCAACATGCTTTAAATCTAAAAAAAGCCAACACAGCTTTTTATACACAAGGGAATAAAGCGGGTAAAATGCTTGTGAGATATCTCACTATTAGGCAATATAAATCTAAATTAGCAGCGATCCTGGATCCTGTGTTGAAAAAACCTACTTATCACCCCCAACAAAATAGCGGCTGCGTTTAGATCCTACTATTCCCAATTATATAATTTAAAGGCAGATCCTACCACTCCGCAGCCTACCCCAGAGCTGATCCATAAATTCCTACATAAACTACCTAAATTAATGCAGCAAAAATTGGAAGGGCTAAATCAACCCATTTTGGAAAGCGAGATAAGTGCGGCTATTAACGCCTTGCCCAAAGGGAAATCTCCAGGGACGGATGGCTTTACCACAGAATACTATAAGGAATTCCAATCTATCTTAGTTCCTCACCTTAAAAAAACTTATGATGAAGCGGTGTCTACATCCACATTTCCACCTGAAATGCTGCGGGATTGTCAGGGCTCCCGGGTATGACCAGAGGTATGTGACTGACGCAGGGAAACGCAGACTTCAGATATGTTATAAACAATGTAATTTATTAACACTAACCATACAAACATAAACGCAGTGCAATACTAAAACATAACACAGTGCAAACAAACCAACCAACCACCCACAGATAACAGTACATACAATGCAAGCGTCGTCAGGCAGGCCGGGTCAATATCAGTCGGGGCAGGTAGGTACAGGGGGAGCAAGCGGAGAATGGTCGGGGTCACAGGCCAGGTTCAGCAGGTAGCGGGCAGCGTGGTACAGAGGGTCAGGCAGAGGAGAATGGTCAGACAAGCCAGGGATCAGAGCAGGGTCAGCAGAGAATCAGACAGGAACAGAGAGCAGGAACAGGATACAGGGCCCAAGAGAAACACAACACCAAGGCAGAGTCTGCAGGTCTGAATGTCCCTTAAATACACCAGTATAATTAGTTCCAGGTGTTTGACTGGCTGCAAGGTTGAGTCTCTGATTGCTGGGAGCACCCGCTGGCCAGCCCTGGTACTGCAGCTCATAAGGCAGCTGAGTCCCACTATTGCTGGCCAGTCCATTCCTGACAGTACCCCCCCCTCAAGGAGCGGCCTCAGGACGCTCCAAACAGTCATAGCTGGGCAAAATGTTCCACCCGCCCGGGTCTGGTAACTGCGGGATATCAAAGACTGGCACACCGGGCAGGACTCCGGGCAGTGGCACACCGGGCAGAGGCACATCGGGCAGGACCCGGGCAGAGGCACATCGGGCTGGACTCCGGGCAGAGGCACATTGGGCTGGACTCCGGGCAGAGGCACATCGGGCTGGACTCCGGGCAGAGGCACTCCGGGCAGCGGCACACCGGGCAGAGGCACATCAGGCTGGACTCCGGGCAGAGGCACATCGGGCTGGACTCCGGGCAGAGGCACATCGGGCTGGACTCCGGGCAGAGGCACATCGGGCTGGACTCTGGGCAGAGGCACATCGGGCTGGACTCCGGGCAGAGGCACATCGGGCTGGACTCGGGCAGAGGCACATCGGGCAGAGGCACACCGGGCTGGACTCCGGGCAGAGGCACATCGGGCAGGACTCCGGGCAGAGGCACATCGGGCAGGACTCCGGGCAGAGGCACATCGGGCTGGACTTCGGGCAGAGGCACATCGGGCAGAGGCACACCAGGCAGAGACACACCGGGCAGAGGCACACCGGGCAGAGGCACACCGGGCAGAGGCACATCGGGCCGGACTCCGGGCAGAGGCACATCGGATTACCAGGCGAAGCAGCAGGCAGCGGGCCACCAGGCGGAGCAGCAGGCACCGGGCCCCCGGGTGGAGCAGCAGGCACCGGGCCCCCGGGCGGGGCAGCAGGCACCGGGCCCCCGGCGGGGCAGCAGGCACCGGGCTCCCGGGCGGGGCGACCGGCATCGGGTCCCCAGGCGGGGTGACCGGCATCGGGCCCCCAGGCGGAGCGGCGGGCGCCGGGCCCCCAGGAGGGGCGACAGGCGTCGGGCCCCCAGGCGGGGCTACAGACGTCGGGCCCCCAGGCATCGGGCCCCCAGGCGGGGCGACAGGCATCGGGCCCCCAGGCGGAGCGGCGGGCGCCAGGCCCCCAGGAGGGGCAACAGGCATCGGGCCCCCAGGCAGAGCGGCGGGCGCCGGGCCCCCAGGAGGGGCGACAGGCATCGGGCCAGGTGGGGCGACCGGCATCGGGCCCCCAGGCGGAGCGGCGGGGAGCGCCGGGCCCCCAGGAGGGGCGACAGGCATCGGGCCAGGTGGGGCGACCGGCATCGGGTCCCCAGGCGGGCGGGCGCCGGGCCCACAGGAGGGGCGACAGGCATCGGGCCCCCCAGGCGGGGGCGACATCGGGCATCGGGGCCCCCAGGCGGAGCGGCGGGCGGGTGCCGGGCCCCCAGGAGGGGCGACAGGCATCGGGCCCCCAGGCGGGGGGACAGGCATTGGGCCCCCAGGCGGGGCAACAGGCATCGGGCCCCCAGGCGGGGTGGACAGGCATCGGGCCCCCAGGCGGAGCGACAGGTCTCAGGCCCTCAGGCGGAGCGGCGGGCGCCGGACCCCCAGATGGAGCGACAGGTCTCGGGCCCTCAGGCGGAGCGGCGGGCGCCCGGACCCCCAGGTGGAGCGACAGGTCTCGGGCCCTCAGGCGGAGCGGCGGGCGCCGGACCCCCAGATGGAGCGACAGGTCTCGGGCCCTCAGGCGGAGCGGCGGGCGCCGGACCCCCAGGTGGAGCGACAGGTCTCGGGCCCTCAGGCGGAGCGGCGGGCGCCGGACCCCCAGGTGGAGCGACAGGTCTCGGGCCCTCAGGCGGAGCGGCGGGCGCCGGACCCCCAGGCGGAGCGACAGGTCTCGGGCCCTCAGGCGGAGCGACAGGTCTCAGGCCCCCAGGCGGGGCGGCGGGCTCCGGACCCCCAGGAGGAGCGGCGGGACCCCCAGGCACCCTAGTCACCAGGCACGACAGTGGGCTCCGAGTCAACTGGCATGACCGCTGGCACTGGGTCAGACATTGGATCGTCTGGCTGGACAGCGGGCATCGGGTCACCAGGCATCAGGTCATTTGGCTTGACAGCGGGCACCGCGTCATCTGGCAAGGCAGTGGGCTCCGAGTCAACAGGCAACAGAGGGCACCGGGTCATCAGGTACCGGATTGTCTGGCTCGACAGCGGGCATCGGGTCACCAGGTATGACAGCGGGCACTGGGTCACCAGGCATCAGGTCATTTGGCTCGACAGCGGGCACCGCGTCATCTGGCAAGGCAGTGGGCTCCGAGTCAACTGGTATGACCGCGGGCACTGGTCAGACATTGGATCGTCTGACTGGACAGCGGGCATCGGGTCACCAGGCATCAGGTCATTTGGCTCGACAGCGGGCACCGCATCATCTGGCAAGGCAGTGGGCACCGGGTCACCAGGCATTGGATCGTCTGGCTGGATCAGTTCATCATGCTGGGTAGAGGCATCAGGCTGAATGCCGGCGTCCGGCTGAGTAGAGGCATCAGGCTGAGTAGAGGCTTCAGGCTGAGTAGAGGATTCAGGCTGAGTAGAGGATTCAGGCTGAGTAGAGGCATCAGGCCGAGTAGAGGCATCAGGCTGAGTAGAGGCTTCAGGCTGAACCACGGAAGGCAGGCTCACTGAGTACAGGTTAGAGGCTGGATACTGAAGGCAGGATGGATGGTATTGGTTGGAAAGAATTTTCGCTTTTTTCTGGTTTTAACTACTGGAGCACTGCAAGTAAACGCAGGTCTGCAAACAAATGGAGCAGCTGGAGACAGAGAAGAACTGGAGGATGGAACAGGAGAGGGAGCAGTTGCTACAGAGGACTTTTTTACAGGGTTAAAGGCAGGATAGGTGCAGCGAGTGGGAACAGGGTACTGACATGCGGTAGATAGCAGGGCAGGAGGAGCTGTTGGGAATGCAGGAATAGAGCTTTGAGGAAATAGATTAGAAGCAGGACTGGGTTTTTGTAAGCTGACTGAGGCTGGGTGCAACAAGTCTGTCCATGTCTGCAGTATGGGTTGAACAAAGCTGAGCTTACACAAAGCCTGTCTGACCAAAGACTGCACTGCGTTTATACAGTCTCTTAGTGTCTGTGGTGAACATGTGGAATAACGCTCCAGAAAGTAACCCACATCATCCTCTAATAACCACACCAGGGACTCTACCTGGTCTGCACTAAATGGTGGCAAAAATTCATCCCTGCATTCGGGGGTACCAGATGAAACCAACTCAGCACAAACCTCAATCAAAGGCTGCACCTCAGAGAACTCTGTGCCCTGATCTACTAGAACATGAGCGAGCCGTATACATTCTAGCAGTTCATCCCGGGGATACTCCTTCAGAGTTTGATAAGCATACTCCCTGTCATCAAACACTAGCAGATATAAATACGCAACCTCATCCAGATCCATCCTTCCCATCAACAAGCCAAGATGGCTTCCCTGTGCAGCCACTTCTGGTCAGGATTGGCCTTGGTGTAATGTCAGGGCTCCCGGGTATGACCAGAGGTGTGTGACTGACGCAGGGAAACGCAGACTTCAGATATGTTATAAACAATGTAATTTATTAACACTAACCATACAAACATAAACGCAGTGCAATACTAAAACATAACACAGTGCAAACAAACCAACCAACCACCCACAGATAACAGTACATACAATGCAAGCGTCGTCAGGCAGGCCGGGTCAATATCAGTCGGGCAGGTAGGTACAGGGGAGCAAGCGGAGAATGGTCGGGGTCACAGGCCAGGTTCAGCAGGTAGCGGGCAGCGTGGTACAGAGGGTCAGGCAGAGGAGAATGGTCAGACAAGCCAGGGATCAGAGCAGGGTCAGCAGAGAATCAGACAGGAACAGAGAGCAGGAACAGGATACAGGGCCCAAGAGAAACACAACACCAAGGCAGAGTCTGCAGGTCTGAATGTCCCTTAAATACACCAGTATAATTAGTTCCAGGTGTTTGACTGGCTGCAAGGTTGAGTCTCTGATTGCTGGGAGCACCCGCTGGCCAGCCCTGGTACTGCAGCTCATAAGGCAGCTGAGTCCCACTATTGCTGGCCAGTCCATTCCTGACAGGGATATTATAGTTACTCTACCCAAACCGGGAAAAGCGCCTGACTGTCCTCAAAATTTTAGACCAATCTCCCTACTAAATACAGATCTTAAAATGTATGCCAAAATATTAGCAACTCATTTATTAAATATTACTCCTCTTCTCATTCAGGCTGACCAAGTAGGTTTTGTAAAAGACCGGCAAGCTGCAGATGGGACTCGTAGAATTCTCAATTTGATGCATCTGGTTGAGTCAAGGGGACTTCAGGCGGTGTTCTTGGCACTAGATGCCAAGAAGGAGTTTGACAGAGTCCACTGGCAATACCTAGATGCTACTCTCACTAAATTTGGTATCAACGGCTTCATAAAATCTGCCATTATGGCGTTATATACAGTCCCCTCGGCTCAGGTATTCACTTCTAATGCCCTGTCCGCTCCCTTTAATATCACTAATGGCACAAGATAGGGTTGAACTCTATCCCATATCATTTTTGTGTTGGTGATGGAACCCTTTGCAACCGAGATTAGAAATAATCCACGGATCTCGGGCATCCAAGTAGCGTACACATCTCACAAAATTGGTCTGTTTGCGGAAGATGTCATCTTAACCATCACTGACCCAGCGAACTCCCTCACAGCAATCTCAACTTCCCTGCAGTCTTTTAGCGAGGTATCTTATTACAAACTTAATATCACAAAATCTTGTGCTCTTCCAATTGCTATACGAAAGAGTTATTTGAGTTCTCTTAAGGACAAATTTCCATATCATTGGACCAACAAGAAATTGGAATATTTGGGTATCTATATTTCAGCCCCATCCTCACATACAAAAATAATTTAGAAAAATTGTACCAGTCTACTATATTGGAAATGCAAAGAATCGATAAATTTGAAATTTCATGGGTTGGTAGAATAGCTGCATTCAAGATGTTGATATTTCCCAAAATATTATATTTTTTTTAGAACAATCCCAATTCTCATCCCTCGGAACTATTTCTATAAACTAGAGGTGGCTATAAAAGGATTTATTTGGAAAGGGAAGAAACTACGTATTCCGTTTAGGTCACTGACCAAACATAAAACCAAAGGTGGAATGGGACTCCCAGAAATTTCTATGTATTATTATGCAACAATTCTAGACCAACTTCCAGCATGGTTTGCCCCTTCAGACAAATTATGGGTACAGATAGAACGGATTGTGGTTCCTAATAAAGACTTACGAGCACTTCTTTTGGCTAGATCGGTTGCCTCCAAGATCTTAACTATTTCCTTACCGTCTATCACTGCAACATAGCAGGCCTGCATAATAGGTATAAATAAAATATCGGACTCATCCCCCAAACTTCAAATCCATCGAAGCTACTTTACTCCATATAAGTTATATAAAAATGTACCCCAACGTCTCTCCACTGTGTTGGAGGAACTGTGGTGGGGAAAGGAACATTCTCCATACTATGTGGAAGTGTCCTCGCCTACAGCTGTTTTGGCAAGAGGTCTTTGCCCTTATTTCAAGGGTGTCGGGCACAACATCCATTTCAACACCAGGCTTAGCGAGTAACGAGTAATTATAGAACCATAATAGGTCATATCTTTATTGCCGCTAGACTTGCTATTACTAATAAATGGAAATCAACCAATACTCCTTCTATTTTAGAAGTGAATCACAGAGTGCAGACACATTATGTATGCGAGAGAGCCTTAGCAGTTACCCATCAATCTATGGGGAAATTTGAAAAGAAGTGGTCCCGATGGAAAGAGATATTTTCGTCAAATAACAGTATTGTTTAGAGATAAGTGAGAGACGGTCCCAAATATTAAGATGCAAGCTCTGTTATTTTCTTCCCCTTAGGGTTGCTTTGGTTCACACTTTCCTCTTTTTTCTTTTACCTCCTGGTACCTACTTTGTTTGGTACCTCTCTTTTCCTTCTTGTTTGTTATACGTAATATCCTCAAGAGGTTTGGTACAGATGGGCCCGTACATCCGGGTTTACTATAAATAATATTAAGTGAACCACTATGCAAAGTACAGTATGTTATATGTGTAATCTCTTGGATTGGATGTGTAACCTCCTTCTTTTGCAATCTATAGTTGATGTATATTCTGTTTATGACCAGTGGGCCTCCTTCTATCTGTTATAGCAACATTAAGGCTGTATTTGGGATGTAGTGTTGAGCAAGGAATGTGTGTACCCAATTTATGACCTGAACCTTGTATTTTTGTACTTTTATACAAAAAGTTCATAAAAAAGATTTGAAAAGAAGTATACAAACCCAAGGGTTATTTGGTATTCTAATTCCCGTCATCTCCTGAACTTGTTGAATTATTCCTTGCCAAAAGTCTTGGATCTTAGGGCATTCCCACCATATATGTGCCATAGTTCCTTCAAACCCACACCCCCTCCAACATAAATGTGAATACTGTGGTCGTTGTTTGTGTGCTACACTGGGTGTACAATACCATCTAACTAGACATTTATAGTTAATTTCTACTATGTTCAGATTTACAGCACTATGTGCCAGTCTAAATAATTTATTTTTTTTCGTTCTTGTCTAATTTTGTTCCCAACTCTTTTCCCACTTCTCAAGATACAATGGATGTTCAGTTCCCACTATATTGTTAAAAAACTTGTAAATACAAGAAGTTACATGTTTATGTATTATCTCTTGACTGACAAATCATTCCAATGGGTATATATTCTCCGCAGCCATGGTTGCGGAAAAGTTGTTACAAATAGCCTCAATTGGTGGTATCGTCATTCATCTAACCTAAAAAAACAAATCTTTCCTATTTTTTAATGTTAAAAAAGTAAGCAATTCCCCTTTTTCAGTGCTATCCTTCAAATGTACATTTTTATCTTTTATCGATTTTCCTCGAACACCCTCCTTCCCTGGAAGAAAGAAGCCTGTTCCTTCTAATAGAATTAATAGTGAATTATATTCCCATCCCATTTGTTTGTGTATTCTATCCCATTCCCTTATAATATTCCGTGTTAATGTACTTATATTTTCTGAAAAAATGTGATATTGTGGAATTCATATTATTTTATCTAACTGTGACCCACTTAGTGTATATTCCATTTTCACCCATATTTTCCCTTGTATATTGTGAGTCCACTCTACTATTCATGAAATCAGCACAGAGCGGTAGTATCTCCTAAAATCCGGCATACCTAAACCCCCATTAACTCTATCTCTACATAATACTTTATAGTTTATTCTTGTTCTTTTATTTACCAAAACAAATTTACTTATCATTCCTCTTATGATCTTAAAAAAGGACTTTGGCAAATATATTGGCAGCATGTGGAACCTATACAGGATCTTCGGAACTATAACCATTTTTATAAAATTTATACGACCCATCCATGAGAGTGATCCTACAGAAAATTTCCTCAATTCTTCTTTTACTTCATTTACGTATTAATGAAATATAATTTATTTGGTAGAGATTGTTCAAGGAAGGGGATAGCTTTACTTCTAAATAACTTAATTCCCTTTCTTTCAAAGCAAAAGGGAAGGCTTCCTGCAAGCTCTGTTTATCTAACTTTGAAACTGTGCTATTTAATATCTCAGATTTTGAGGGGTTGATTTTTAGATTTGATAATTCACCGTAATATT